AGCAAGGACAAGCAGCCACTTGGAGCTGTCCGAGACGGCTTCTTCTCCAAGGAGTCCGGGAAGGCCAAAAAGCCGGACCACATGAACAAGGTTGCCCTGATTACCAGAAGCCAGGAGGATCACTATAGACTTCTACACGGCCTCTTGTGGAGGCATACCGGATAGACACACTATTGACCTGGGAGGGCAGCCGAAAACCAGAGAAGGTGGAATGCAGCATGTGTCGCCGGCAATCGGCCTCCGACATTCGGAGGAACTGGGGGGGGGTGCAGGAACTCAAAGATTTGCAGGCGTGTTGTCATGCAATTAATGGAGGTGGCCAGAAGGTTACGATCAACCTAGACGGACTGCTCAGAGGAGGAAGACGAGAGGATGAAGAAAAAGGCTGCCCTCCTGGCAGCTGCCCTTGGTAGATCCAACCCGTCCAGGCGGCCCAGACCCCCACGAAAGGGGGGAACCAGAGGACGGGCACCTTTGGCAAGAGGCCAGTGCACCAATTAATTGCAAGAGGTTTGGCCACTGGAAGAGTGAATGTCCCCACAAGGGAAGTCAGCTAGTAAAGGGGGGAACCAGACGGGCACCCCAATCGGGAGACCAGTGTGCCAATTGCAAAAGGTTTGGCCACTGGAAGAATGAATGCCTCCACAAGGGAAGTCACCTGTTGCAAAGGAGGGCCCCGTTTAGGACAACCCAACAGAAACCGGAAGCCCAAGAGCTAGTGGGGCTCGCTGCTGGCATTGAGTCCGAGTTGGGCCGACTGGGTTCCTTCAGCCCTCAGGAAGCCACAGTCAAGATGGAAGTAGGGGCCAACAAATGACATGTGGACGTTGGAGCAGAACATTCAATTATAAGGCACGAGGTCCTCCACATGCCAGACTGTCCGGTGCTGCTTTTGGGACAGGACTTGCTGAGCAAGTATGAGGCAGACGCCATCCAGAGGACCGAGGAGCTGAAGGAGGCCAAGAAGAAGCTGGCAGAGAAAGACAAGGATCGCGCTGACCTGAGGCACAACCACCAGCGGATGCTGAGACCCAGGCCCACAATGAAGCACTGAGGCTCAAGGAGAAGATGGAGGCAACCTCAGTGACCTGGAGCTGCAGCTGGGCCATGCTACCCAGCAGGCCACGGAGGCCCAGGCGGCCACACGGCTGCTGCAGGCCCAGCTGAAGGAGGAGCAGGCAGGGCAGGATGAGGAGCAGCGACTGGCAGCGGAGCTCCGAGAGCAGGTGCAGGCCCTGGAGCGCTGGGCTGTGCCGTTGGCTTCTGAGTTTGAGGAGCTGCAGGCTACGCGGGAGCAGGGTGAGTGCAGCCAGTGGCTGGCGGAGCAGGAACTGTTGGAGGCCACCAAGCGCCTCAACCTCCTGCATTCACAGAACACAGGCCTCCTGAACCAGAAGAAGCAGTTCAAGGTGGATTTGGCCCACCTGAGTGGGGAGGCAGAGAAGGCCAAAGAGGCCATCACCGATGCCACCATGATGGCTGAGGAACTGAAGAAAGAGCAGGACACAAGTGCACACCTGGAACAGAAGACACTGGAACAGACGGTGTGGGAGCTCCAGGCCCAACTTGAAGCTGAACAAGCTGCCCTCAGAGGTGAGAGGCAGGTACCTATGGGGGTCCTAGTGCAGACTGTGGGCCCCTGGCAGAGGCCAGTGGCCTGTCTGTCCAAGCGGCTGGACTCGGTAGCGTTGGGATGGTTGCCTCGTTTGCTGGTCAAGAAGGTGGACTGGCGTGTTTTGGCAGGGTGTCCGTGTGTGGACCTTGAGCCCTGCCACCTTCCTTCCTACCGGGCCAGGGCCCCCAGACCATGACTGTGCTGAGGCCATGGAGGAGGTCTGTGCAAGCCGGCCAGACTTGAGGGATGGTCTGTTGCCGGCACCTGACCTCGAGCTCTACAGACAGCAGCAGCTACATCCAGGATGGCAAACAGTTGGCTGGCTACGCAGTCACCACAGGGAGCGAAGTCATCGTGTCAGCCCCTCTGCCTCAGGGATGGTCAGCCCAGAGGGCAGAGTTATGGGCACTCATCCAAGCCCTCAGGTACAACAAAAGGGCCAATGTATATACAGACTCCAAATATGCCTTCGCTACAGTGCACATACACAGGGCAATCTACAAGGAAAGAGGGCTATTGACCGCAGGGAGAAAAGAAGAAATTCTTCAACTATTGGAAGCAGTGTGGGCACCGAAGGAGATTGCAGTCATCCACTGGAGGGGCACCAGAAGGGCACAGACTCAGTCACCAATGGTAACCACCTGGCAGACCAGGCAGCAAGGCAGGAAGATGGGACAACCAGAAGATCCCATCAAATACCACATTCTCCTGGCCCCCGAGTGGTCAGAGAAACCCAGGTACATGCTGGAGGAAGACCAATGGGCAGAGCAGGGCCCTTACCCAGTTGCTCACCCAGTGATGGCCAGTGCCCAGTGCCAGACTTGTGCCAGGAACAATGCAGTGGCTAAACCAAGGCCAGCTCCAGGAATTCAGCACACTGGGGTGTCCCCATTTGAGGATGTGGAAGTGGATTTCACAGAAATCAAACCAAGCCGGGGATACAAGTATTTGCTGGTTATGATATGTACTTTCTCAAGTTGGGTTGAAGCTGTCCCCACCCGAACCGAGAAGGCCAGAGAGGTAGTGAAGCTCTTGCCTGAGAGAGGTCATCCCCGGTATGGCTTGCCTCTCTCCATCAGCAGCGATAATGGACCTAGCTTCACTGCAGAAGTTACACAGATCCTATCCAAGGCATTAGGTATCTAGTGGGAGTTACATACAGCCTGTAGGCCACAGAGCTCAGGGAAAGTAGAGTGTGTGAACCAAACCCTCAAGGTTACACTGGCTAAACTCTGTCAGGAGAAACAATTACCCTGGGTAGATAAGCATCGCCTTACTGCGGGTAAGATGCACTACTGGCCCCACTGAGTACTCACCCTTTCAGATCCTATATGGTAGGCCACCACCCATCATCAAAAAGCATGGCCACTATACACCAGACTGTTCAAGAGAGAAGCCAAATTGGACTGGGACTCCCAGTCCACCCCCATAAACCAGGGGACCTGGTCTGGGTAAAGGATTGGAAGAAGGAACCCCTAGAGCCAACCTGGAAGGGACCCTATACTGTGATATTGGTTACCCCCACTGGGGTCAAAGTTGTAGGTGTCACTCCATGGATCCACCATTCCCAAGTGAAGACAGCCGAGACATGATGCGACCAGGCATTGGACGGTGCAACAAGGTCAACAGGATCCGGCTCAGACTCTCGTCTACAAGTTGGCCCTCAATATGGCTGGACTGTATGGGACCACTGGTCTGGACTGTCATGGGAATTGGACTCGGGGCTTTCACCCCAAGAGACTGGACTAACTTGCTTTGGTGATCCTTTTCTGGGTTTACATGGGGTGCCTCTGTGTTCTTGGTTGGGGCTATCTGGGGAAGAATGTAAACCAATCAGGAACTGTAACTACCAAAGTCAAAGGGCTATGGTAACCATGGGGCCCAATGTAGTTATTTGATTCATAGAGAGGTTGATGCCTTTGTGTAAACTGATAAGGGCATCAAAAGGGGGGAATGACTCGGAAAATGTTGGGTGCCGGGACGTGGCCAATTCCCGCCTCCCTGCAGTTCCGCATCTCCAGGGGCCAGTGCTGCGTGAGGCTGGTTAGAGGCACGCCGCTGGCGCTGGGCCCCACAGCATCCAGCCGCCCCGGACACCCGCGTGCCGCCGGGACCCCGAGTGCTGGAATGCCCCAGGCCCTCGTGCAGTGGCCTGTTTCCGGCCACGCTGCTTGCATGATCCTGATTGGGTAATTTTTGAATCCCACTGTTTTCGATTGGATGTTAAAGCTTGTTGTTGATTGGATGTTAAAGCTTGTAGTTGATTGGATGCTTCTTGAGCCCTACCAAGGGTAAAAAAGCAGGGGCAGAAGGGCAGGAAGGGGGAGAACATCGAGGGTACATCGGGAGACAAGAAGAGAGCTATAACACTAGGCGTGCTGAGTCTGCTGTGGAAGAATAAAGGCTGTTCTCCGACTCTTTGTGTGCTGCTCGGTTCTTTCCCCGGTCAAACGAATAAGAGCTGTAACAAGGGCTGTAACACTAGCTGTACACACTGCTACCACAGTACCAATGTTTTTGTTTTTGATAATTTATACGTATTTTCTCTAGAATAGTTTGAAGAATTCAGTAGATTAATTTGCAGTAAGTTATTCAGTTAGACATCCCAAGGGTTTTTTTTTTTGCTGTCATTAATGTTTTCAATGGACACTTTAATAATTGCACATATGGATGGGGTACGTGTGATATTTGACGCATGCATACAATGTCTAATGAGCAAATGAGTGCACATTAGCATATCCATCCCCTCCAATATCATTCTCTGTGTAGGACCATTTCAGATCAGCCCCTGACTCTTTCAAAACATACAGGACACTGTCAATCTTGTCACCTACAGCGCTACGGACACCGCGTCCAGGCGGCCCGCATTGGTGGAGCCCCGCCCGCCGCGTTGCCTAGGACCCGCCTGTGCGTCACTTCCTGAGCGACCTCAGGCTCGCGCAGGCGCGCTTAGAGGACACTTGGCGGACGTCCGCAGTGACGACGCTTCTCTCGGAGGGAGCGACCCGCGGCTCTCCACACCTCAGGCAGCTGTCCCGGCTGGCCTCGCGGCCTGGGCCGGTCTCCGGTCCGTGCGGGGCGGCCTGGCTCCCTCCCGCGACGTTTCGAACTTATAAAGGACGCGCTGAGGGAGGCAGGGAGGACGGGGAATCGCCTCCTCAGGAGAAGGACGCCGAAGCCGTCGCGCCGTTCTTGAGTCGGAGAAGGGAAGGCCGGGAGCTCCGCCTGATGTGGAAGAGGAGGCGAAGCACACAGCTTCAAATGAAGCGGCCATCCGCAAGTTACCGACGTCCACCGGGACGGGAAGAGGGAGAAGCCCGCGCCTCAGAGCCAGGCGGGCTGCGCCCAGGGGCCGCTGCTGAAACTGCCCAGCCGCCCAGCCGCGCGGCCCGCGGTCGGTCGGGAGCTGGAGCTGGAGCTGCAGCCACTGCGCCAGCCTCGCTGGGCTGTGGGCTCGGTCGCCCTGCTTCAGCTCTCCGTGACGATGGGATGGACTTCACCGACATAATTTCATCACAATGAGAAATAAACAGATAATCAAATGAAGTTTCAAGACTCGAGTCTGTAGTTGGCCATGGGGGGTATATTGCTCATACTTCTAAAGCACAAGGAACACGTAGTTCTGATCAATGAAAAATGTGAACTGCAAAATGTCATTAAGGAACTTAAAACGGAAGGCAAGAAATTGATGACCATCAACATGAAATATCAGTATAGCACAACGCACATCAACAGAAGTTGACAGACTTAAGTAGTTGGCATCAAGAGGAATTAAGTGACTATGAAGAACGAATTGAGGAAACAAAAACCTGTTTCAGCAAGGTGGCTCTGGAGTCGCAGAAACTGATCACTCTAAAATCCATGAGATGTGAAAAAATATTCAAGTTGTACAAACTGAAAAAGTAGAGTCTACAAAGAAATTGAAGAACTTAAGGATAAAATAAAAGACATAAATAAAAAGTTATCTTCTGTGGAAAAGTGGCAGACATGTTTTGAGGAGAGAACAAGAACAGCTAAGTGTGGAGAAGAGACAAATAATTTCAGGATGTGAAAGCTTGAAATTGGAATGTAGGAAATTGCAGCGCAGTGACATTGTGACACAAAAGGAAAGGATTCTTCCGCAGAGCGCATCAGTGGAGAAAGTGTTCAGATTGCGCCAAGCGCTGTCTGATGTGGCAACTGAAATAATGAGACTGAGTAGTTTAAACCAAGGTAACAGTCTCACTGAAGACAATCTGAAACTTAAAATGCAAGTCCAGGCCAGGCGCGGTGGCTCACACCTGTAATCCTAGCTCTCTGGGAGGCCGAGGTGGGCGGATCGTTTGATCTCAGGAATTCAAACCAACCTGACAAGAGCTAGACCCCGTCTCTACTATAATAGAAAGAATTAATCGGTCAACTAATAATATAGAAAAAATTAGCCGGCATGGTGGCGCATGCTGTAGTCCCAGCTACTCGGAGGCTGAGGCAGGAGGATCGCTTGATCCCAGGAGTGTGAGGTTGCTGTGAGCTAGGCTGACACTACGGCACTCACTCTAGCCTGGGCAACAAAGTGAGACTCTGTCTCAAAAAAAAAAAAAATGCAAGTCCAAGTTTTAGAAGAAAAGTCATTATTATGAGTCAAGAATAGGAAGAAATTCAGGCATCACTTTTAACATTGAACAATGAGTATGAAGTAATCAAAAGTACAGCTATGAGAGATACGAGTTTAGATTCAGAATTACATGATTTAAGACTTAATTTGGAGGCAAAGGAACAAGAACTTCATTGTATTATTAATGAAAAGGAAACACTGATAGCTGAGTTAGAGGAATTGGACAAACAGAACCAAGCAGCTAGAAAGGACATAATTTTGATGAGAGATCAGCTATCGAAACAACAAAATGAGGGAGATAGCATCATCTGTAAACTGAACCTAGATCTAGATGATGAAGAGAGTTCACCAACTTGAAGATGCTAAAATGAACATGACTAAAGAGATGTGCAGAAATAAAAGTTAATTAATTCAAAGTTAACTGGTCTCCAGTGATCCTCCCACTCCACCCTCCCAGGTAACTGGGATTCACATTGATTATGTGAACTTTGTTTCTTACAGACAATTTCTTCTGAGCTACCAGTTTTTGTGAGCAGGTTTTTCTTTTTTAGAGATGGAATCTCCCTCTGTTGCCCAGGCTGGAGTGCAGTGACATGATCACAGCTTACTGCAGCCTCAAACTCCTGGTCTCAAACAGTCCTCCTCTCCAGTATCTAGGACTACAGTTGCATGTCACCACACCTGGCTAATTTTTTCTTTTTTTTTTTTTTTTTTTTTTGAGATGGAGTCTTACTGTGTTTCCCAGGCTGGTCTCAAACTCCTGGCCTCAAGCAGTCTTCCCACCTCAGCCTTCCAAGGCACTGGGATTATAGAAGTGAGCCACCACACCTGGCTGGGTTTTTCTTAACAGGCTATTATTACATTTAACATATTAGAAGTTCTGTTTCTTCATCTGCTGGGAATTCTGGGAGCACTACATTCATGGAAGTGCTTAATTAGTGTCTATACACCAATCAGAGGACAGCTCCTATTTTAAGAGACTGTGATCTAATTTATGAATACCTTTCAGGGGTAAGAAAATATTTCACACACATAAAGAAAAGGTAAGAGTTTTCTTAATTATAGCCAAACAGCCAGTGTGTTTACAGTTTCAATTTTACAGCATCAGTCATTGGTCAAAAGTAAACAAAAAATGAAAATTTCATCAGTCCAAAGGATAGGATATCTTCTTAATTAATTTGGAGTCACAGAGGAACAAATAAATAAAAACATTCTTTGCTCAGAATGAATTGAGGTTTTCAATTCATTCTGACAGGTGAGTCCATGTGGACATTCTCATGGGGTCTCCAAAACTGTCAAAGTATTCTTATTTTTAAATTAAAGCGTAATTTCCACGTGAATACAAAGTGACCAAATGTCAAAGATTTATTAACTCATTCATGAGGGAAGCAAGAGGTTGATAAGGCTGGTTCAGAGTATTTGAAAGACAGATGCAGAATACAAGGACTGAATTAGCACAAAACAGACTAATACCCACAGGGCACAGAACTACAACCTTTGGGCGTATTTCTTCATGCATCCATGAACACAACAATCTACAAGTTAGCATGTGATGTCAAAGAGTCTTAGTAGTGATCAATAGTAAATAGTAAAAAGGAATAGTGTTCTAGAGAACTAAATAGTCTTTGAGAGGCTTGTTAAATAATGCTCTGGGATGGCGCTGAGGGGACTTGGAGTTATCCTTTCTCTTATTTCCGTGTCTTGGATAGTTTTTCTTTTCTTTTTTCTTTTTTTTTTTACAGTCTTAACACTGATATTTTATGGATAATTTTTCCTAGGAATTCGTGTGACTACTGAATGCCTACTATGTGCTGAGCACCCTGCCAGGGACTAAGGTGAGTAAGACTGACCCTCACCTTCAGGTATCAAAGGTTGTAGTGAGAGACAGCATGTGAACAACTAAGTTCAATAACCTCCTGTAGGTGCTGTAATAAACAGTCTCCACCAAGTCCAGGGGAGACACGAAGGAGAGGCAGCAGGCCTACTAGGAGACCAGAAAGTTCAGAGGCTCCCCACCTGGTCCTGGGAGAACAATGGATCAAAGGCAAGAAGGTACCAAACATCATGTTACGTGTAGCAACCACTGATGATGGCCTTTAGTTACACACTGTTCTGATTTGTTATTTAGCTGCTTCATGTTGTGGATGGAAAAATCCAAACTCTGAAATATTTGAAAGAAGTTTATTCTGAGCCAAATTTGAGGGCCATGTCCTGGAGCCACACCCAAGAAGCCTGGAGCAAGTGGACTCGCTGTGGCTGGGTTACAGTTGGGTTTTATACATTTCAGGGAGACAAGGAGTTACAGGTAAGGTCATCAATCAATACGTGGGAGGCATACATTGGTTTGGCCTGAAAAGGTGAAAGTGGGGGCTTACTGGTTATAGGTGGGTTTAAAGATTCTTTGGCTTGTAATTGGTTAAAGGCATGAAGCTTTGTCTAAAGGCTTGGAATGTTTCAACATAAGGAGCTGTTATCAGAGATAAGCCACCGGAACATAGATTTGTTGTGTCAATTGAGGACCTGTAGGTTTGTCTTGCATTCCTTTGGCCACGAGGGGTCCATTTAGAGAGCTGGTGGGTTGTGAGCCTTAAAATTTTATTTTAGTTCACAGTGTAATAACATTTTAGCAAAATCATATGCTTGGAATAGGGAAGTGCTGGGAAGTACAGGAGATTGTCTTACACTTTGTTGCAAAAACTAAGAGACAGTGCGCAGCTGACATGCCTGCTATAGGAACAGACAGTAGCCTCTGCTCTTCTTGGCTTCCCTCTCCTGGCATGGAAACTCCACCCTACAAGTGAAGTAGGGAGAGGCTGATCAGGACCCGTGTCCTGGGCCTGCCACACCTAGGATACAGCCTCCAACTTGAGTAGGACCTGGGTGGAGGGACTCCCTTACCTCTTGGCTAGACCATCCTCTGCAACACAAAGCTGGAGGGGCAAGAGAAACACCGGCAGCCTGCCCCTCCCTGGGAGATCCCAGTTGGGGTAAAGGCAGCACTGTCTTCTGAGTCACACTCAGGGGAGCTTCTGTGGCACTGAGTTGGGATGGAGGCAGCTGGTTAGGGAGAAACAGACTCCTAATGTTCTTATGGAGATTGTGTAGATTTTCCTGAATATTTCTTTATTTGCTGTATTTCCTAAGGACAATTTCCAGAGACTTTAAATGCTTGTTTAAAAAAAAAATTTAACCAGTACACTGGAAAGTGGGTCAGCAGAGCTGCTCATGCAGCCGTTATGGAAGTTATCCATCTATTCGGTTATTGTTGGTATTCTGCAGTTTAGCTCACCAAAACCAGTTTTAAACAATGAAGTTTATTTGTATCCCTTAGAATATTTTAAAAATGAAACTTCAATAATCTCAAGACACAAAATACTTTGAATTTAGAAAAGAATAAAAATTCTCAACAGATTTTTAGTTTAAAAAATATTTACCATTCAGAAAAATCAGTAGAATAAAGCCATATCAAGGTAAAAAAGTTATCAAGACACAGAATTATAAGAACATTGCTTTCAGCAAATTTTTCTACTGAAGTATAATTATAATTGTTTTGCTTATTTGAAAATCACTGTTTTCTCTTCAGTCTTCTTTCATGCGAGTGTATTTTAAAACACAACATCATATAAAACCATAATGCCAGAAACACCAGTTACTATCAGCCAAGTAAAATGTCCCTCAATTCACATTACTCTGCCAATATCAGGAAAAGTAAGACCAAGCAGGCAAATGTGTTTTTTGGTAAAAATGCTGTTCGGGATGGACTATCTTTTTAAATTTCTGTAACACAAATGGAGTTTTCTTTTTATAGATCAAACAGATTTTTAAATATATTATGTTGCTTACTACTGACTTTATAAAAGCCATAGATGTTGTATATACATATGATTTATTAATAAAAGATGATCAGGGAATATTAACTTAAGCTTAAAAAGTCCATATCATGTGAAACATTCATATGCCTTTACCATTATTGTTATACTTCTAAGAAAGGGATCACCAAATTATAGTTAAAAAGAAAAAAATCCCCTCATACTTGGACTTCTAAGTAAAAAGTTTTGCTAAAATGTTCTTATTACCACAATGACAGAATTATTTTTAGTACATATAACAGGTATACAAATAGTAAACATTTAAATTGTTTTTTAAAAATTTTAAACTTCAGTTTGGAATGTGACAGTTCAAACTAAGCAGCAGTTCAAAGTGAAGTTACATTGCATTATAAAGAAGTATCAAAGGAGTGGCAACTGGTTCTATTCTAATCTAGAAATCCATTTTAAAGAACCTAAACAGAATAACTGCTTAAATGTAAACTGTAAACAGAGAATGGATGACCACTTACCAGAGATACAATAGAAGGGTTTGGAGGTTAGATTATCATTCAATAATTTTTAAATCCATTCCAATTCTAAAATTCTATAATTCTACAGTTCTCCCAGGAGTTCTATTAAGAAACAATTACTTCTTGCCACTCTAGCCAGATTATATCACATAAAAATGGAAATTTTAGTATCTTACTATATGTGCTTAGAATAAATTTCAACTTCTAGCATATTTCAAATATGCGTCTTATCTTCTCCTCGTTTGATCCAAATTGAGACCTGGTCCCCATTTCAGACTGAGCTTCACCATGCTTGAACAGAACCTATTTATAGCCCAAATGTTCTATGTTTCTTGGCAATGTTCTAAACAATAGGGAAAAATGAACTTTAAAAACATTTAACAAATGTTACATCTCAAATTCTGAAATAAACACCTGTACTTAAATTCCCTATGTTAAACTATTATAAATTACTTAAATGCAAGCAGTTGGTATACTTGCTACTTGCTCGGTTCTCTCCAACTGGGGATTTATGTCTGTTATGAAAAGAAATTAGCTTTAGGTTAAATAATGCTAAGATGCTAAGTAATTATGATTACCACTATTATAATCTAACCTGGATTCTCAAACAGAGAACCATCTGACTTTTATGTAGAAAACAATTTAGGTTGAAGATATATACTTTTCAAAATACCCACATATCCTCCAGAAATTGCTAGAGAAATTTAATGTATGAACAAGCTACTTGAAGAGACTATGTTAGCTTCTAAAAACAGTTATGAGTTCCATGAATAACCAGTAAAAATCCTCTGATAGATTAGTTCTAAATGGTGTTATCAGACTATGTAACTTAAGTAATCTAATCATTATTTCTATTTTTGAGATACCGGTTCATAAAATATCAAATCTCCATGAATCAAAGTGCTATCCACTGGCAGCATGGCAATTACAATGAAAACCAGGTCTACAAAAGACACTTTTGAACATCATTGTTTCACATCTTTAATATTGTCTTAAAGGGTCTATTACTCTTCAACTATCTCAGTGTACTCTGAAATATAAAAGTAGTAATTATAGTGAAACAGTTATTATAAATCTAAATAGAAAATTCCTATAGCAATGTGTTTACTCGGAACATATTTTCATTTCAAATAATGCAAGATTTCTCACAAAGTCAGAATACAACTCACAGTTTTAACAGAAACCTCTGTGCTTATATCAACATTCAGTAAAATAAACACTACCTACTAGGTTGCTTTTGAATATAAATCACTTATTTAAGTAAATGGGATATAATTTCTAACTTGTGTTAAAAGTGAAGAAATAATTTATTATGTGATGCCTTGACCAAAATCAATCAGTCAAGTGGAAGATCATCACATTAGGATACAAATCAAACTCTACTAACACAACACATTTGTTAGAGACTTGGATATAGATATAACTATTGTTGGGGAACTGGATGTCCTTTAGCTAGGGGGTAATGAGAGAAAAAAGCATATCACACATCAGGCCCCTATTTTAATTACTTCATTGATAACAATGCCTGATTTTATTTATTGAAGAATGTTTGTTCCACTGAAATACACTTTTAATTTTATAATGCTAAACAGTGGGGGAGAAAATAGGGGCCCACTTGTTAAAAATCCATTCTTTATAAAGTTATTTATTGATTAGATATGGAATGACTCTTCATTTTCTGCTCTGAAGACAACTAAATCTTTTTTTTTCCCAAAATATTGACCTGCCAATTTATCCTTGACAACCAATTCAGAAAGATAAATGAACCTTCTGACTTTACAAATAAAAATGTGTGCATCCTATGATCTGACCCATACTTCTGATTTAAAATATAACTAAGTTCTCTCAATAGACAGTATATGCATTTAAAATTTTAAACTTAAATCATTCTTACTTCACTGTTCTCATTCTCTTTGCATTTTACTTTTACATTATCTCTGTAAATAGTCAAAAAACAAAAATCCCCAATCTTGAGACCAACTTACATTGGAGGTCTGAGGTTAGTTTATAACTTTTAAAATATTTTGTTAAAATGTAAAAACCCTGAAATTACAAACAAAAAATTTTATAAGTTTACAGTATATATCGAATTTATTTTTTTAAAAAAATATTCTGAATTGTTTTTATATAATTAATCAAGTGTTATTTCTTCAAATGAAACTCCTTTATATGCTAGAAGAGGATATGTGGTATTGCCCCATTAAAAATCAATATACATTTCATTTTTTTTATGCTGGTACTTCAACTATTTCAAAGTAGTCATTTGGTAGAATCACATAACCTCTTTCTGATACATCGTCTTTCTCCTTCTGGAAGTGCACAACCTCCTTTAACTTCTCAAGCTGTCGTTCTTGTCTTCTGCAACGCTGCTGTGCAGTCTTAAGCTTCTTTCTGAGTTTTTCAACTTGCTGTTCCAGCTGATGAATCCTTTTCCTCTGGTGCATTGTATCCTCCACAGTGTAGTTGTGGTCACAGAAAACTGAGAGATTATCTGGGGTCTGAAGAGGAGGCATTAGCAATCCAATAGCAGCATCAACCTGGGAAATGGGAGGTGTAGAAGGAGGTGGGGGAAGCTGTTCTTGTGGCTCCAGAAGATCTTCCTTCTAAAATAGTAACACAGAATATGCTTGAATTTAGTAACTAAAAATAATAGTTTAAAAGAATCTGTGGAATTTAAGAAATTAATTAGACTTTTTTTGTGAATCTGTGGTATAGAAACATTCCAAAATGAGGAAATATTTTCAGTTTTAATTAAACTTTTCTACTTGAAGTAGAAGTGTGATGGAAGAAAGAGATAAAATGATTAGATATAATTAATACTAAGCACTTAAAACTGAGGAGAAAAAGTACTTTGAAACTAAACTGTCACTGACAACGAAAACCCAAAACTTATCAACATACAAGTGGCGGTATAGATTGATCTTTAAATAAGTGACAAAATGAAATTGTGTTTTTAAAAGTGTATCACTGTTGGTTGGGTGCGCTGGTCCACGCCTGACATCCTAGCACTCTGGGAGGCCCAGGCAGGCGGATTGCTCAAGGTCAGGAGTTCAAGACCAGCCTGAGCAAGAATGAGACCCCATCTCTACTATAAATAGAAAGAAATTAATTGGCCAACTATAAATATATATATATATAAATTAAACGGGCATGGAGGCGCATGCCTGTAGTTCCAGCTACTTGGGGCCGAGGCAGGAGGATTGCTTGAGCCCAAAAGTTTGAGGTTGCTGTGAGCTAAGCTGATGCCATGGCATTCTAGCTCAGACAACAGAAGTGAGACTCTGTCTCAAAAACCAAAACAAAACAAAACAAAGTATATCACTGTTAACAGTGGTTATTTACAAATGATGGGTTCCAGGTACATTTATTTTCTTAACATTAACTCCGAATTTTCTAAATTTTCCACAATGAACACATTAATTTTATAAATAGAAAACAACCCAATACTTTAAAAACACGTATTACCTTGTCATGTGGTTCAGTACAAAGAAATATTGTGGGGACAGCGTTCTCCTTCAGTAACTTGTTGTTGCACTCCCTCTTAAAGCAGTCTGGAGTAAAGTGCTCAGAACAAATACTGCTATACTTGGTGGGCTTAAAGTTTTTTCTTCTGACAGCTGCCTCCCATTTTTTACAAAGACTGGGTCGAGTAAGAGGAAACCTAAGAATAAGACATAATTCAGTTCTCTGACTTCATATTAAAAAAAAAAAAGGCACCCAAACTTTCCAGTTGAGGAAAGAACTATCTTACATTGGTATTACTATTCTAAGGCGTATCTGATAAAGATTAGTTCCAGTTATCTATCTTATTTATTAGTGTTTAACTTTTCATATTGAGGACACTAAAAGATTCAAGTAAAATATATACTATAGAATAAATCCATACTCATATTTTTTACCAGTGACTTTGTCTGCTTCACAAAAGAAACACAAAAATTGTGCATAAAATTTGAATTAATCAAATATAGGGAATAATGGTAAAGAAATAAAATTAGTTATTTTCATTTATCTCTTAATCAACTGGGCTACATCCATTCGGTCCAGGTAAAGGGAGGTAAAGTTTACATTTATGGTGATTTTACTTTTCTAGGTCAAGAATTTGGTACACTGGGGGATTAGGAAAAAAACAAGGATGTTTCAAATCTTTGTGCCACAGTTTCTCTTCCAGGTAAGGTATGCTAGATCCTGAGTCTGCTGTTATCATGAAGATCTAACAGATCTTTACCACTGCCCCTTTTCATTAATTGCATAGCATAGCTTTCTCCACTGCCATTATACAGAAGCTGGGAGAAGAGATATGCCTAGAAAATCCTTGCTGGAAATGGCCTCCAGAAATACAAACTATGGTAGCAATCATTGGAAAAATTCAGTACTGAGGGCCCCATGGCCCAAGGACTACAAAGTCTCAGCTGCTTGTGAGGTTCTGTCCAGGTATTTCCCATCTACTCTTCCAAAATCTGTTCTTTTAGGTAATGGAAAAGGTACAGGTTAGTCCTTCTTTTGATTCAATCAACTGTTAAAGATCACCAGAAACACAGTATTTTTGATATGTGAATGTCATGTGCCAGTGAAGAACTTTCCATATTTTCAGATTCCCTCCGACATGTGTGTGATCCTGTCACCATCGCCTGACCTATTCCTACACTTTGAAAGTATCTCAGTTTTCAGAAATTCCAACTGATCAAGAGGTAGCATTAGGACACACTGGACTGGCTGCTGTAAGTGTTCTATCCCCTTGTCTGCGGGGAAACAACACTGGAGATCTCTCTCTGCACTAGGCACTCTTGTTTCTACAGGGTCCATCTCACATGTAAAGCATAAAAATGCATCCACATCCCCTATTACACATGAACAGCTCCCTACCAAAAAAACTGAAGGAGTACTTAAAATTTTCCTTTTCTAATTATTTAGCTATGAATAATTCATGTAATTTATCACTGAGTCTGATCTCTTACCTATCACATGTGCACAGCTGGGAATTCTTGCAAATAACAACTAACGTTAATGCAGTAAAATTTGTAAACAATACGGCTGGACGAAAATGTCATGTCACATTTTTCAGACAGTTGACATTATGACATTTAAATTCTGCAGTTTTATTTTCCTATTTTCGACAGAATATTTTCACCCTAGGACTCCCACCGCACTGCCTACTGGATAATAACCCGAGAGCGGGCCTGGGGCCGCTGCTTCCGCCAGGGCCTCCCCCGCGCGGGTGAGGACCTCGCTCCGCCCGGTGCTCGCCGCAGTGTGCGGAAATGATAGCGGCTGATCCCGGAGCACCGGGCGCTCTAAAACTTGGGGGTCCGTGAAGGCTGGTTCCTAGAAGTTGGGGCCCAAAGCCCTCCTAATATCCTGGCCCCAAACAGATCCATCCTGAAGCGGTGTGACGCCGGCAGGGACCAAAACAGGGATCTCTTCGTCCTTTCGCCGGCCTTTGCTTCCACGTCGCCCGCAACCGAGGAGCGACGACTCCGCGCCTTTCCACGCCTCTGCCGGCGGCGAAATCCAGGCGTCCCCGCGAGCCCGAACTCGCCGGGCAGCTTTGCCCAGCGCCAGAAACGGCCGCCGCGCCGGTCCGGCGGCCCCGCCCCCGCCCGGCACGCCCCGCCCCTCCCGTTAGTCTCGCGCGGACACGCGCCGGCTCCGCCCCCCGCCCAACCGGCCGCGCGCCCCCGGCCCCAGCTGGGACCGCGAGGCGCGCGGGGAACTTACTTGTGGAAAGAAACAGGTTTATCCTTATCATATCGGTTCTTGCAGCCGTAGGCGGAACAGGACTGCACCATCCTTCCGGTCCTCAGTCACTTCTGCCGCCCCAGAAGGCAGGTGAAGCTGCTGTCAACGCCGCGCTCGGCTTTGACGCCCTCGCTTCCTCTGTAGCTTTGGCCAACAGTTACAGCGACGGCAGCCTCACTCCGGATGACTAATGTGCCCGTTTTGTAGTTTGCATTAGCAGAAGGACCACAGCCATCGCCCGTCTCCCATCTCCAAGATGGCGGAGGCAGCTTCAAGCTTACCTCTCGCGAGGAGTTCGTTCCACTGTCTCTGATTAGCCCCGAGGTCAGAGGTAACGTTTCCTAGGAAGCAGGCTATTGGCTGAGGCCAGGTGTTTCCTGCGGCGGGTTTGGCGTTGCGGAAGTGGGCGGGGCCCCCGAGCTCCCCCGCGGGGCGATGGGAACCGCCGGTGGGAGGGGAGGTTCTGTGAGCGGCCGGGGTTCTCGTGCGCGGGTTGCCCGGAGCTTTCCCGGGACGGTCTGGAGGGGAAGCGAATGGGGCCTGTTGGAGAACAAGTGAAAAGCTGGGGCGCTGTCTTGCGCACATTTGTTTAGAAGGGCGGCCCCCGATGGGCGCCGCGTCCCAGGCCGCTGACCTCATCCCGCTGCCTGTCTCTTCAGGCCTCCCGAGGCTCTGAGCAGCGAGGGCCTGCACACGCTGTCGCCCAGCCGCTAGGGCGCAGGCGTTCCCGCCGGCTCTTCGCTGCCGAGGCCTCCGAGGGCCGCGCTGGAAGTCGCGAGCTGCTGCGGCGATTTTCTCGTCCGCGAGGCTTCGCCTCTCGTCCCCTGCCCCTCCCTCGGCAGATCCGAGCCCGCGGCTCCCGAGAGGGCCCTGTGCTCTACTTTTGCTGCCCTCTTGCACGTCTGCGTTTCGGCCGCGCGCGGTGCTCACGCCTGTCATCCCGGCACTCCGGGAGGCCGAGGTGGGAGGATCGCTCGAGGTCAGGAGTTCGAAACCAGCCTGAGCAAGAGCGGGACCCCGTCTCTACTATAAATAGAAAGAAATTAACTGGCCAACTGATATATATAGAAAAAATTAGGGGCATGGTGGCGAATGCCGGTAGGCCCAGCTACTTGGGAGGCTGAGGCAGGAGGATTCCTTGAGCCAGGAGTTTGAGGTTGCTGTGAGCTAGGCTGACACCACGGCACTCACTCTAGCCTGGGCAACAAAGCGAGACTCTGTCTCAAAAAAAAAAAAGTCGGCGTTTCTCCAAGGTTCCATCCGTCTGCCCTTCTCCAACTGGACACCTTGCCCTTTGAACTCAGATTCCCTAATCTTTTACTTCTGTGTAAACTTGTTCAGCCTTCTGTATTATCATCTGTAAATCAACCGTTCAACAACTGTCTAGACCAGAAACTTTGGCGTCTTCTTGGATTTTTTCCCCCTTGATGACCATGTTAATTTTATAGACTAAATACCTCTTAAATCCATTCCTCTCCATCTGCTTCACTGTTCTTTATCAACTGTGGTGGTAACTTTACCTTTGTAGCAGCACCCTAACTGTCCTAGACTCCAGTATTGCATCGTTCCTGTCTATCTTCCATAGAAACTGATTGTTGCTCATATCCTTCTGAGGCTACTCCCTGTACTGAGTAAAATCTTGTGGCCAGCTATAAAGCTCTTGAGGGCCAGGTACTTCTACTTTTCCACCATCATTTGCCTCCACCTGTCCGTACTCCTCCAGCTTTATGTCTTAGAGGGCTGGCTCTTTTCTGGTTTCTTTAAATAGGCTGTTTTCCCTGGCCTGAAATGCCCACCCGTCCACCCTTGAAATGTGGCCTATGTGTCATCTTCTTCAACAAACTTTTCTTACTTTCTCTTCCTAGCCTCTCCAACTAAGGCACCTCTCTTGTTCTAGTGAAATCTTGCACTTATCTCTATAAACCACTGTGAAACATTGTAATGTCTGCATACGTGTCTCCCTCATCAGAACAGATGCCCTTGAGGATAGGGACTGTGTCTTAAGTTTGAAACCTCAGCAGCTTGCAGTGTCTGGCATAAATTAAGTACTCAGAAAATGTTGGTTGAATCAAGAGGTCCCAGAAATAGGTTCAGAGCTAGTGGCTCATGTCTGTAATCCTAGCACTTTGAGAGGCCAAGGTGGGAGGGTTGCTCGAGGCCAGAAATTGGAGACCAGCCTGGGCAACATAGTGAGATCCCCTCTCTACAAAGAATAAAGAAATTAGCTAGGCATGGTGGCGTGCACCTATAGTCCTAGGTACTGTGGAGGATGAGGTGGGACAATCACTTGAACCCAGGAGTTTGAGGCTGCAGTGAGCTATAATTGGGCCACTGTATTCCAACCTGGGTGACAGAGCAAGACTGTCTCAAAAATAAATAAGTAAAAATAAAATAAAATAGTTAATAGCCAGAAATATCTTGGAGATATTGTGGGCTTGGTTCCAGAACACTGCAACAAACTTAGGTTTCCCAGTGCATATAAAACTTATGTTGACACTATACTATAGTATACTAAGTGTACAATAACACTACATCTCAAAAAATGTACATATCTTAATTTAAAAATACTTTATTGCTAGAAAAATGCTAATGATCATCTGAGCCTTCAGCAAGTTGTAATCTTTTTGCTGGTGGAGGTTCTTGCCTCAATTTTGATGGCTACTGATGGATTAGGGTGGTAGTTGCTAAAGGGTGGGGTGGCTGTGGCAGTTTCTTAAGACAACAGTGAAGTTTGCAGAATTGATTGACTCTTCCTTTCACAAAAGATTTCTTTGTAGCATGTGATGCTATTTGACAGCATTTTATCCACAGTACAGCTTCTTTCAAAATTGGAATTAGTCCTATCACACCCTGCCCCTGCTTTATCAACTAAATTTATGTGACATTCTAAATCCTTTTTTGTCATTTCTACAGTGTTTACAGCATCTTTATCAGGAGTAGATTCCAACTCCAGAAACCACTTACTTTGCTCATCTGTAAGAAGCCACTCCTCATCTGTTCAAGATTTATCATGAGGCCAGGAGCAGTGACTCATGCCTGTAATCCTAGCACTCTAATAGAGCACTTTGAGATTCTGTCTCAAAAAAAAAAAGATTTATCATGAGATTGCAGTGATTTAGTCACATTCTTAAGGTTCCACTTCTAGTTCTATTGCTATTAACCCCTCAAAGTCATTCATGAGGGTTGGAATCAACTTTCAAATTCCTGTTAATGTTGATATTTTGAACTCCTCTGATGAATTACAGATTTTTTTTTTTTTTTTTTTTTTGAGACAGAGTCTCACTCTGTTGCCCTGCCTAGAGTGCTGTGGTGTCAGCCAGGCTCACAGCAACCTCAAACTCCTGGGCTTAAGTGATCCTTCTGCCTCAGCCTCTCGAGTAGCTGGGACTACAGGCATGCACCACCGTGTCCAGCTAATTTTTTCTATATATATTTTTTAGTTGTCCAGCTAATTTTCTTTCTATTTTTAGTAGTGACAGTCTCGCTTTTGCTCAGGCTGGTGTTGAACTCCTGATCTTGAGTGATCCTCTAGCCTCAGCCTCCCAGAGTGCTAGGATTACAGGCGTGAGCCACCACGCCTGGCCTTATAAATGTTCTTAATGGCATCAAGAATGGTCAATCCTTTTCAGAGCATTTTTCGAACTCCTGACCTTGAATCCACCCGCCTCGGCCTCCCAGAGTACTAGGATTACAGGCGTGAGCCACCACGCCCGGCTTTTTCAGAGCATTTTTAATTTACTTTGTCCAGATCCATCAGCAGAATCACTATGGCAGCTACAGCCTTGTGGAATGTATTAATAATATTTCTTAAATATTAAGACTTAAAAGTTGAAATTACTCCAATTTATGGGGTTGCAAAATGGATGTTGTGTGCAGGCATGAAAACATTAATCTTGTACACCTCCATCAGAACTCTTGGGTGACCAAGTGTATTGTCAATGAATAATAGTATTTTGAAAGGAATCTCTTTTTCTGAGTGGTAAGTCTCAACAGTGGGTTTGAAATAATAAACCAAATAGTAAAGAGCATAGGCAGAGTAGATTTAGCATAATCTTAAGTGCCCTAGGATTTTTATGTTAAATGAACATTAACTTCGACTTAAAGTCATCAGTTGCATTCGCCCCTAACAAGAGAGTCTGCCAGCTTTTGAAGCTTTGAAGTAAGGCATCGACATCTGTCTAGCATCTTCCAGTGGAAAGCTGTTTATTCTACAGTGAAAATTTGTTGTTAAGACAACTCCCAATATCTTCCCGATCCCCGCCCTCTGCAGTGGAGGCTGAAACTGGCTTCCAGCAGCTATGAGCAGTGGCCCC